GAACTATTACATTTTTATCACGATACAACAGCTGGGGCTATTTTGAAAATTGTATTATTATAGGAATTTAATAAAGCAATAAGCGTAATAAACAATTACACGTCTTTCAAGTCTTCATAAAAACAAAAACCGGTTTAAATATAATGGTAGAATAAGTACAGTGGCATCGTGTGGGAGCACAATTCAACGTTAACAAGCGTTTAATTAGCATTTAAATGAATACGTATTTAACACGGTGTGTCATTACCGTGGCTTATTACCAAAAGGACATTTAGCTCTGGACAATAGTATCTATCTACCTACCTTGCTCTACCTTTAGAGCAAGTTAGTTGGTAGAGCCAAAGCAATAGCTTATTCCTTTAGCCCTTTTCTTAGGTCTCAAATATACGTAATATTTGATACATACGCTCTGCTCTGACAATTTTAACTGAACAATCGAAACTCTTCAGATAAATGAGAGTCTTAGCGTTTTAAGTGTTATAATATAAGAAATATTACTGAATTGCCGACATTAGGTGTAATAACTAGGTCGAAATGAAGACCAATTGTCTTCAAGGTTACCGGACGCATTATCTTATTAGGTCTTTGGATATAGCAACATAAAATAATACTAATGTAATGTAAATATTAAAATAGTTTTCCCGAAGAACTATTTGGTTGTTAAAATGACCAAAAAAAGAATGAAATACGACTTCACAGATTATATCATCCTTAGAGGTATTTAAACATTTTACGCGTCGTTAATAAGTCTGACATTTAAACCTCCCTCTACGCAATGCATCTTTCAAACACCCTTTGATGTAATACACACTCACGCGTATGAGGGGCTTATCTCTGGTCTATCTCAAAAGGCAAGTAGTCATTTTTCATACTTTTTTTTTCTTGACATATCTTACGCAAGTTTTCATTCTACGTTATTTTTGCTAATTATTATTATGTAAAAGAGTATCAAACACAGTGTTATACGTTCTGTGACGTCGGGTTTTGGTATTTGGTGGTTGGTGGCACAAAGCGTGTTGAGATTTCAAAAGTAAAATAAACAATTTATACCACTTTAAAGCACATTAAATTTAGTCTTGGCATACATTAAGCCAAAGGGCACTAAAACGCGTGTTATCCTTGCAACTTGCATAACGAATGTTTTGGGTTAAGAAAGCCACCCACAACGACAAAGGTTAATGGCGCAAATGGTGTTTGCAGTATCCATAAAATGGTAATCTTACAACTTGGTGTAAAATTTTTATGAAAAATACACGATTATTCTTATAAATAAGTCAAATTTAGATTTGCCGGCCTTTTATAAGTAGAGCAATTTAAAAAATGGTTCTTTAAATAATTGCTTAAATACAATTCTCAGTATTTTTAGTAAAAATTTAGTACTGTGTGTGTGTTTCATTTTAGTTTTGTTTTTTTATTCGAAATCGCAATTAAGAATCTGTCAATAAACTTCCGCAATGACTTAAAATATATTAAATAAATGTTTCAAGTATTAACTTAAAACGCTTTTCAAGGGTTAAACAAGGATAAAAACAGCGACTTCCTTATTCAAGCGATTCGAGTTTTTTTTTTAATATTAAATCACAACAAGTTAAGTATCAATAAGCGAAATAAGGTACAAATTAGAAAAACATTTTTTTTTATTAAATAGCATTGATGTTGGAATTAGAAAAATTTACTTTCACTACAAAAGGTGTCCTAAAACATTACAATAAAACTAAATATAACATTGACACGTTCTCTGTTTGAAGAAAACATTTACAATATAATTTAAATAATCCTGTTTACGATTAATGTAGAATATAGAGATAGAATTAATTACGAAGTACTTGTCAGGTGTGGCCTTCGGTGTGTTTGAAAACTAGTAAGTACATGTAACACAACACCCGCGGCAAGTGAGCTCCGGTGTCCGGCCCTGTGCAACCTCGCAATCACGTTATATAGAGCATAAGAACTTAAGTAACCTGTCTTGCCCTGATCCTGTCATTTAATACTCTAAAACTTTTCGTCATTGGTCCTTTACATATTTGCAATTTTATTTCGATAGTCAAAATGCTAGAAGGGATTGAAAAGGTATTTAATGAAGTGAATTGAAATTTGAGATAACAATTGCTTTGCAGTGCATTTCAAGACTCGTATAAACAAAGTTGCATACACTCGTAGATGTAAAGAAAAATGTATACATTCTGGTTAGGGTTTTCTTTTAATTGAGGGCCACCATATAAGCATAATTAAAATTCGGTGTCAAGCACCGTTGCTAGGACAAAAGTAATGGTATAGTTATGCAAATGTTACAGTTATGATATATTGGCATGCAAGAGGCGATTCGGTTTGTATGCAATGTCTGTTGCATACGTGAAGGGACTCTCACTCATCACGATGTTCATAATTAATTGTCCATATGGGTTACGTACAACTAACCCTTTGAATAAATTGCTACCGGTGCGCTGAACTTTTGCATAGTCTTATGACGTCACGAGTTAACTGGCGGTATTGATAGAATGAGTGCGTAGGTGTTTGAAAGCCATCGACAAAGTTTCTGTGCACGGCTAATACATTGCAAAGACATTGTTGAATTTCAAGAAAGACTACCAAAACCCAATTGGAATAAAGTTCAAATGTCAATTGTCCGTCTGTCCAACGGCTTTCGTAAATACAATTTACTAGTTATTGAAACAATGCTTAGGATATGCTTTGAAATACGACACAGTTTTTTTTATCAATAAATCAACAGCCTAGAACATGTTAGTCAATGAAAATTAATAATTGTTTATGTTCCAGTTTTAAGTTTCATAATTAACAAACTCCCTCTACATACTTGTACGTAACCAATACAAGTAAAAATATACTGTATTCTTTGAGAATAAGATTGAATTTGCTGAACACAGTTAGTATGAAGTTTTGTTTACAATGCGTGAAGCGAGACGCGTTGACAGCTGACACCGAGGTTTGCTCATGCTGCGTTTGCTTACCGTGGGTTTCCGTTGCACACAAAACACATGACTGTCCTTCTCATACTCCTTGTAAGAACGAGATAAGAACATGTTTTCTTACAGCAATGGAAACAGCTTTAGTTTTGTTTGCACATCTATTTAAGTTGTCCCAGATTGAGGTGGACATGCGCTTAGTAATAACAACATAGAATCAAATGAACCTACTCGTATAATATCCTTAACTAATTTAAGGGTTGTCTGCAAAACAATATTTCTACTATTGTTCAGAATAGCGATTTGTAAACACATTCCTACGTACGAGGAGCCAGTTTAATAATGTTGTGACTATAGAACGGTAGTAAAGTTTTGTTATGACTACAGTACAAGAACAAAGGTCAATGAACCCACATGTGCGTCCTAGTCGCAAGAGATACCACACTTTTTGTCATGGTGCATTCAGCTGCATATTGTAAACAGTTCCCTTAATATAACTTATCATGTAATCAATATCCAAAATGTCTAAAAAAACGCAATACATGTAATAGAAATTTTAATCTATCTATACTGTTATAATAAAGCGTAAACACACACTTCTTTGTTGTCTACGATGACAGCAATTACAGCATATTTTTGAATAATTATTTTTTAATAAAAAGGCCTACACTTACGTCAGGTTTTAGGCTATATATTTTCACACCAATAAACTTAGAGGGTAAATATTTTGGATAAAAACCCTAATGTGGGAAAGAGACCATAAGTTGTTGCCAACACTAAGGAAGCAAGATTGCCTAGGTCTGTCATGTTATCAAATGTAAACAATACAATAAAATTTTCATAATTTCATCCGGATGAAGCCGCACGGGAACAGCTAGTCTAACATAAATTGAAGGATGACATAGTTATTGTAAACAAGACCAAGACCTTGACTTTTATGGTACTAATGTTGTGTTAATTACATCACGTATTGAATGAAACCAGGATCTTCTAAAGAATTTACATATAATCGATAGGATGCGTGAGATAGTCGACGTTCCATGTGTTTCCATTGGCTGCTATTGACTATAAAGGTAGAATTAATTACAGGCGCCACACCTGGTAAACAACTTTGCTGAATATCGTTTGTGTATATTAAGTACATCTGATTTACATATAACAATTAAAATAAACCTACCTAGACCTTTGGCTATTAGAATGGGATCATGCTAAAGTAAGAGCATTGGATATGTTTTATAATAAAGTCTTCTTGAATCATTATGTTATAATGTTTGCATAGCATTATCAAAGTGACACATATTACCTAGTCGCGTCTAATTCTGGTCTATTGACCTCTGAACAGCATGACGTAACAATTGCACGGCGTTTATTTCAGCGGAACTGAGCCAAAGGTCGGCACATGCGGACAAAGGCAAACGGTACTCTAAATTGCACCGTTTGGACTCGTGAATTAATTAATAATTAAGATCTTATCCTTCATAATTTCCCAAATTGGACAGTTCTCGCAAGTTTTAGGTTAATAAGAATTTCCTTGTGAACCAATTGACGGATAAATGTGTGTGTTTCTTGGAAGTTTGCTAAAATAACCTTGTACAGGTTAGCTACAAATAGTAGAAATTCTAATTATTAGGTGCCCGCATCAAAGTTACTTTATTTCTACGTAAAGTCATAGTTATCTAATTTAGCCGACAAGTGAACGATCGTAACCGCAAACACATCCTGTCGGCTCAGTGCTTCAGTGTGCCCGCATGGTATCGTCTTACAATGCCCACGTACTCGATGTTCGAATCTTCAACGAGATAAATCATCCAGTATTGTATTATTAATAATAACGTAGGACATATTATGGATGTCACCATTATGATCAGTGCTTATTATAATTTTCAAAATATTTACAGATCTTCAAATTCTTCACATAATTTCTCGTTTAGATACTATCAACGAATTCCTGATTTTGGAAAGATTGCAGTTACTTACCTATTTAGGTTGTATTTTGTTTATAAAGGCATGTTTTTAAATCTTGCCTTAGTTTTGTTTGATAAATTTTGATTCGAATACATCAAATTATTAACTCACCTGTCCATAAGCGAGCACGGTAGCATTGTATCCATCGAGCGCGGCTTCCACCAACTTCCTGACACAGGTCTCGTAGACGGTCTCCTGCGGCGCGCTGGGTTCGAAGGCGTAGTCGAAGGTGAAGCCTCGCTCGGCGCCCAGCGCCACGCCGCCTTCACCCGCGGCACCACCCGCACGCGCACATACCCCGCATCCGTCCACCACCTCGCCTGGGGTTTGTGGCCGGATTCTGGTAAAATGAAATAAACGTTAATGCAAACCTATCCAAAAGTATATACACCAAATTAGCGAAGACACCGCTATAGACATCCGCAATTAATTGACGAAGCAGGAGACGCATATGAAGAGGATATATCCCCTTTCTATGCTTCTCCTCTACCTTCAAATTCACTTACCCTTCCTATCCTTTCCTTATAAGAAAAGGCTGGAAAGAGAAAGGGACTTAAATTAGGTCTCCAGCACTACACCCATCAAACGAAACGAGGAATTGCTCCCACTTAACGCCTGTCTTATGTGTAGTTGTGGTATTACAACGGGCTAGCCGGCACATTCGTGCGTAGATGTTAAAGCGGGCCCAATACTGTTTCATTAAGGTTTACATGTGACAATCGATTAACGAACTTGTCGTATATAAATAAAATGTCTTACGCAGTTTTATCTGCAAACGTGTAACATATACCGACGGATGCATGTTGAGACAAGAACCATTCAGCTGTGACGATGCTTCTTGGTGGTTACATCAACGTATCGTTTAACATGACGCTTGATTTGTTAAGATCATTGAATAATTATGTTTCATTTTATTCGTGCAAATGCTTTCTAATTTCAATTCTCTTAAGCTACGACGATCTGTGCGATTGTTGAATATGCTATTTTAAAACAATAATCTGGACACTTCACTCAATTGGGATAGATAGATATAAATGGAGAGAAGATTGAGGAACTGACTAGTTGACTTCCTGCTTTCAACTGACCTAAAAATAACATACATATTCTACTATTAGTATCATCAAAACATTTTTTATGTATATTTATATTAACGATAGCAAAAACATTACTATTTTATGCCCTAGTTTTAAGTTAGTTTTAGATAAAGAAGTTAAAATTTCAACAGACTGTTCTAAATAATAAACATACATTGACTGAAGTTTTAATAAATTTATGCGGTTAGTGTAGTCAATTAGCAACTTTTACTTCCTACGTATTAGTCAGTGTAAACGCGACTGTCGACTTGTGCGTCAGTGTAACACTTTCCTATTCCTGTGACTTGCTTTAAATAAACTGAACGAGCTCTAATGTTAGGACCACAGCTTTATGTTCTTTTAGTCGGTTTTTTATTGTTAGAAACGACGACTAGCGTTTTTACGAGTTCATTGTAGTGTGCATTTTTAACAGATTTCAAAAAAGGAGATTTTCAATTCGTCGGTTTTAGAAACTTTGATGTTATGTAGGTACATATTCAAATAGTGTCTAAAATGTATCGAGATATAGTTGTCGAAATAAATATCAAGAAATAGTACAAATGTATACTTTGGTAAAATGATGTAAACGATGTCTTCCGAGTTTTAAATACATCTAAAGTTTTTATAAAGGCAATATGATTAGTCCGTTTTCAAATGATATTAACGGTAAATAGAAAATCATATGAGAAATTGTGTTGATAGCAAACTGCAAGTAATGCTGCGACATAAACTATATTAAGCTTTATGTGAAAACGTGAAACAGCAGAATTTCTCCTTCACACAATCACGTTACTAAATATTATAACAAAGCATCTGTTAAATAATTAAAAATAAACATTAGAGGGAAATTAAGTTGAAAAACGGATACATATTTGAGGATTTTAACCAATGTGACTGGCTTTATAGATTAACGATTTTTTCTTAAATTACTCGTAAAATAAAATTAAAAGACCCTACGATATAACATACAAACACTTTAATTAAACATCCGTCGTTAGTCTTCTTTTACACGTCCCTCTTCATTAACTCGTAGACTATATGTGGAGTTAACCGGCATATTATATTGTGCTTTAGAACAAATGCAGCTCGTAATATCTACGACGAGAATCGAGTGAGAGCACAAGGGAGACGGGGCGGATGAAGCTATTACAGCCGCCACGCAGTCTGCCCTCACTCCACTGGGATATTATAAAAAAGATAGAAAACGTTGTTAATAAAATATATAGTTCGTAAGTTAAGTAATACTAGACTAGAATTTGAAGATTACACAACTGTTACATATTTAAATGTCCTTTTCATTTTGTGTCCGTTAGTTGTCTCAATTATCATTTAGTTACTTTATTGCAGATGTTAGTGGGTTGTGGGAATCGAATATGGACTAAGAGACTCGTGCACTGCTGCAGGCGTGGCAGCCGACATGCAGTCTGCATCGGCGCGGTCATTGCGCCTGCACTGACGCAGCGCATACTGTGCGTCATTGCTCACCAAAATAAACCACATCTGGTTGCTCTAAACGCATATAGTTATCGACACTTAATATAGAATAAGTAACAATTTAAAACGCGTCTCATTAAGTATGATTTTTTTGGATATATTTGTAAGAATTTTTACATTACTCTTTGGTCCTATTTACACACGATCAACGACTATGTTTTCTTACACAAGTCAGTTGGTCATAAGACACTGGTCCATCAAGTTGGATTAACGGTATTGTTCTTATGCTTAAGTTCATAACTTACACAAGCTGTTAAACCGTAGTGTTGCAATATTTGCGCATTGCACGCACACTGCGCCTAGAGATTTAGCAAAGCGCCCAGCCCATACGACGTCGTAATACGCCTTTGTTTATACTCACTAGGGCCAATTTACGGACTTCTAACACGGGTGGCTATGATCATTTGGAATATTCAGGACACAATTTAAAAGTTCCATAAAATTGTAATACAGTAAATTCCCAGTGTAATTAAACATGAACATCCGTTTATCCTTCTTTTTTGAAGTTTACAGTAGCAGGCATAAGCTAATAAGTCTAAAGCAACATGACCCCAATACCGTAGCAGAAAGCAGTACGCCTGTTCTTTGTGTACGCAAGACTCGTAGGTTCCACATAGACTTAGTTAGGTTGTCATTTTTCAGACAAAAAATTTAGTTTTTCGTCCTAGAGGACGTGAATAGAAACGAAAAACTAAAAATCATTAATCTTGCCACGAATATCAGTTTTGTAGTAGATTTAAAAGACTAAGCGAAATAAAATACTAGACAAAATAAATTTAGTCATACTGTTCCATTATTCCAAAACGATTTCGCCAATATAGTAGTATTTATGTAGTGTAGAAAATTACCGTAATACCAACACTTGTAGCTAAACGATTACACGGCGACTGATAATCTTACTTGATTCTTTATTATAATCAAAACGGGAATATCCCTAGAGTATACAAAATGTAGTGAATGCATGAGGAAACAATGGGGCACGCTAGCCGGCGCTCCTCGCCTAGCACGCGATATGCCCACATCGGCTGATTTGCAATCACTTCTTACACGTAAAACCGGAATACGAATAAAAAAATAATTAAAACCGTATGCCAGAAACTGTATCTAGAAAGTCGTGATTCTAATAAAAATGACTGAGACGTTCTATTCTTACATTTCTATTGTAAATTTTTTATTTAAGGTGATTTTTTTTTGTTTTCATGTTATTACTTAGTAAGATGTTTATAAAGTTTTCTATATCACTTAACGATGAGTCATGACACGTGACCTTATTGTAGATTTAGTATGAAAGTCTACTAAGGGTCTGCTTAAGATACTGTGACAGTGGCCATTACACAGACATCCTCAGTCTATCTCACGACTAATGAGTGCTTGGCTGCAGCCTCCTTGTACTTAGTTCTCGACGACTTTGAAGAGTCTGTCTTGATGTTGCGTTTTACTACTTTTTATTTATACAAGCTACTGATTACCTACTAATATTAAAATTGGAAAGTTTAGTTAAATGGATGTTTGTTAGAGTTTGTAGTCTAAACGACTGTGCGGATTTCAATGAAATTTGGTATAGATGTCATTGGATGGATGTATGGATATTCTGGAAGAACACATAGGCTACTCACTTTTGTTTTTTTTTAAATTCCACGGAGACGGAGTCGAAAAAAAAGTCAAGGGGGAATACAAGTGTCTTAACATTGTAAGTGATGGAAATTTATTTTTCAGATTATCAAGATTCCGTATTCGGGAAAGGCTTATGTCGAACAGTGAGCATATAAAGGCTGATGATGATGATGATGATATTGGAGTTAGGTTTTATTGGATTGTACAAAAACTCAAAATTATTTTTAAATAACTTTGTCAGTTTTATTGATGTCCAGATGTAGCCTTGTATTTTTCCATTGAGGGTTTACTGGCTTGAAAGTTATTATTCTAAATCGCATTGTACACCAGATATGAGGAAGACGATCACCGGACAACGGGTACTATTGTCCAAACAATCCGGCAACTCGCCTTTGTTCCTATCCACGTGTTTATACAACAATATTACGTTTATTACGCTAACACTGGTTTCGCCGTAATTTTACATTGTAAGAACGTAAACTGTCACATGTTTTTAGTAAAAAATCGTGTTTACGTGACAAATATTATTGAGGGTTCACAAAGAAGAAAAGTAGCAGCGGTTCACTAATATTTAGCAGTCCCTGAAGATAAGAGGTAGGGGATTTTGATCGAACCCGTCGGTCTTTTTGTTCAATTCATTAACTAGCAATGTTCACTTAATCTAGTCCAGGCAATTCACACACCTATTGGAAGCCTACGTTCACAGGGTATTGTGTAAGAATGGTACGGCACAGCGAAGTGCGCAACACCTCCACTGCAATCGGTTTGTTACAAAAGGAATCCACCGAATTATACTGCAACGATGTTGTACAATTTATCGTCCAACAAATTACTGAACAATGCACTATCAAAGCTTGTTTAGTAACCAATTTTATCAACTACTAGCTGTTCCCGTGCGACTTCATCCGCATAAAATTATTAAATTTTTTCTTGTTTAAATGTGTCAAATCATCAATTGCAAATGTCAAAATAACATGACATGATGACAAACCATGGCAACCTTGCTTCCATGATGTTGGCAGCAACTTATGGTCTCTTTCCCACATTAGGGTTTTTATCCAAAACATAAACCCTCTACATTTAATGGCATGAAAATATACAGCGTAAAGCGTGACGTAAGTGTAGGGCTTTTTATTAAATAAAGAATTATTCAAAAATA